ACAACAGTAATTTGTACACCTATCTCTCAAATAGGCATAATTTCATCAGGAGTCTTTTGGAATTGCAAAGGCCACTTAAGTTTTTGACATGAACAAAATAGTTCATTTGAAAAGGACAACAAAAGCAAATAAGCCCTCATGAGCAGATTGCTTGTCTGCTTCATCTAAAAGAAAGATCATTTTGTCCAATGTAGGGCTTATCCCTCCTTCAGTAGTGCTGGCTTTTTAGTTGCATGGCTTGATAAAATTATCAAGGACCCAAGTTACTGTCCAAATGTGCTGTCATTCTCTTTTACATATGTATATGTTAAAATCTGTTTTTCATCTACTAAAATTTTCTTCCTCTCCTTGGAGAGAAACATAAAATAAAGCTCTACAGTGACAATTTCATGTCTGCCTGAAGCCAGCTGGCTTCCTTCCTTTTTCTTCTTTCCGTATTTTCTGTTCCTCTTACTCTCCATTTCCCTCTATTGGGAAAATACATTAACATTATGATTGTAAAAATTTAGTTTTAGAATGCTTACCATTCTAAAATACCCACATAGCTTTTATGAATTAATGTTACCACTGTTTCTATAACTTTTTAAAAATTAAACTTCATTAAAACATTTTTTAAAAATATTTATTCAACTGCAAGGAATGATAATAAAGGATGCATTTAAAAATGGTTCTTTACCAGTATTTTCATCTTTTTTTAAAAGACGGCTTCAGTTATCACCATGTATACCTTGAATTTCTATAAACAGCAAAAATGCATATCCATTCCAGTGCCATTAGTCAAGTGAGCCATCTTTTCAGTATTTGCTGTGTGGGAAAATGTAATAACCTTTAAATAACATTTTCTAGTTATATGTCAAAATATGAGCAAATTAGGGGGTATCAAGGAGTGCAGCAACCCAGATTGTGAAAAATCTCCATCCCTTTACATTCTGTCTCCTGGTGTCCTTCAGGCCATGTCCTCTCATCTCCTTAGTGGCTCCTCTCCCTCTGCCAGATGGTTAGATCTCATAGATCCTCACATCCCCTGTTGGCTGTCACTGTTTTCTATACTTTCACTTATATATCTATACATATATCCTATATATATATATATATTCCCTCTGGATGATTTTGTCCACTCTATCCATTTTTAGTCATGACTCCCAAATTCTTATCTCCAGGTCACACCTTTTCCTCTGGATTCATTCACATTCAGCTGCATGGATTGTCTTTGGGCCCCCATGCCTTTATGTATTTTGCTTCTCTGCCCAGAACACCCTGTCATGTCAGGTTAACACACATACTGAGACTTATCACAGGTGCCACTCTCCCTAGCTGGCGGAAGGACACAAGTGTCTCTATTCCCTGTTACTATAACACCCTAAGCATCTTCCTTTCTTTACATGTAGCCTGCTAGATTATAATCACCTCTTTGATTGTACTATAACCATTTTTCTTGACAGTGGTTATCAATCATAGGTATAACACAATATTTGCACAATCAGTTGAACAAACAGGTTCCATTTTTAACCTGCATGGTGCACCTAACACACCATTATTTCCAAACTAGATTGTCTTGAGGGGGGAATGAAAATTAAGGTTCACAAGTGTCAACAATTTATTACGCCTTTTTCTGTTTAAAGTGAGTTATGGATATCCTGTAATTAATAAAACAGCCGCTAAACTTATGACTTTCTACCAGAAAAGTCACAGGATTGTTAGAATGACATGTTTACTATTTCAATAGGTCCCGTAACTACTGCTACTTGCTCTATCCATTTTCCCATAAAAATAAGAATAGTTACTATTCACTGAGCATGGTTCTGTGAGACACTTACTGCTCTCATTCACATTGTCTCATTGACTCCTCCCCAAAATCCACTAAGGTAAACTCTACTATTATGCCCACTTAATAGATCACACTGAGGTTGAAAGAAACTGAGTAACATTTCCAAAGTCATCCAACTAGTAAAGAACAGGGTGGATTTGAACCTTTCTCATTCCAGAGACCGTGAGGTCTTAAACACCATGGCATATGACCTTTCAACTATTGGATGGGGATTTGTGAGAAGTTTGCATGTAGTGGGCCAGTCATCACTAACTATGGGGCCAGAAAAAAACTAAACAGGTCAGTTCTCAGAGACACAAAGACAAAACTGGCCCTACAGAAAATAAATAAGTTCTGCCCAAGTCACAGCCTGCCACACTGAATGGCTTATCTCTGCAGGAAAGAGTATGTGTGTCTATAAATATAACTATGGATTACACATCTATTAAAAATCAGAATTCAGGTCCCATTAGTGTGTTTTTTTACTGACTTCTTCCATATGGTCTTGTACTTGAAGAAATACTGGCTTTTAAATAAACAACCATACATTGGCAAAAGCTGTTTGCTCATCAAGGGTCACAGGCTGAATTGATTTTGCAGGAGATAATGCTTTTTCACTGTCAATAAATTATTCAGGTTAAAAAAAAAAGCCAACTCTCAAAAACAGAAATGATGAGGGGCCAACTGAACCTTGCAGCAGGGAAAGTATTTAGGGAGAACCTAAGGACTTCAGGCCAGTGGCAAGTGGAGGTGGGGCGGCAGTCACTTTCTATCCTGCCTGTCTTACCTTTCAGGTAACAGTGTTCAATAGACAGACTCCTGTGAGTCTTCAGAGGGGAAAGCAAAGTGTTTTGGTTTTTTCTTATAAATGTTTTGATGGCCTTTGTCCTTATTTCTTCATCATTTTTGTAATCAGCCTCAAATATTTCAGGAAATTAAGACTTAAATGTCACAACCAGCACTTGATTTTTTTTTTTCTCTCTCCACTGCCTACCATTATCCCCAAAGTGGCAACACTGAGAACTATCCTAACAACTGGGCAGTAAAATCAAATCAAACCAAAACAAAACTTCTTGTTAGTTATGGTCGCCTATACTTTAACCTATAAGGTAAGCCCATATCCTGTAGGAAATGGTACTTCTTTTAATTTAATTTATTGAGTGCCTAATATATATAGTAAGTGAACAATTTCAGTCCCCAAAAGGGGTATTATGACTATTTTACAAGAGGAAGCCTTCTGGATGAAAGGTGAGGAGTGGAGTAAACAGTAGGGCATCTTGGAACCTGCCCGTGGCACCCTTGGGGTCTATCTCCTCAGGAATTAGGGTGCAAAAATCTGCCTAACAGAAGTGTATGTGGCCTGGCCTTTGTACACCTCAAAGATGACCACATGGGAAAAGTAATCCCAACATTCATTCCACAAGCAGTGAAGTGGCACAAATACTAACAGAAGCTGAAGAGGAATCTTTTCTCTGATATTTATTTGTTCATAATCCTGTCTTCAGTCATCAAGAAAAAAAAGTGAGCTCCGCCCTAGCCAGTTTGGGTCAGTGGTTAGAGTGCTGGCCCACAGACTGAAGGGTCCCAGGTTTGAGTCTGACCAAGGGCACATACTTTGGTTGCAGGCTCAATCCCCGGCCCAGTTGAGGCATGTGTGGGAGGCAACCAATCATTGTGTCTCTCTCACATCAATGTCTCTCTCTCTCTCTCTCTCTCTCTCTCTCTCTCCCCCCTCCACTTCCACTCTCTCTGAAAAATCAATGGAAAAAATGTCTCGGGTGAGGGTTACAAAAAAAGTGAGCTCCAAGAAAGTAGAAATCTANTCCACTCTCTCTGAAAAATCAATGGAAAAAATATCTCGGGTGAGGGTTACAAAAAAAGTGAGCTCCAAGAAAGTAGAAATCTAGTTGGCCTCATTTACAGCTGTACTCCCATCACCCATCACCTAGTACAGAGCATGGCATATAGAGATGCTCAGTAAGTACTGGGGAAGAAAGAAAGAGAGTCCATGAGGGAAAGCGGGCCAAAGACTGCTAAGGATGAAGACATACTCTTTTCTCTTTTTTCAGGAAGACTTCAACTCTGACTCACAGGAAAGATGAATTCAAAGAAGTAAAATATAAACTGGGATCTTTATTGTGGGCCCTGCCTGTGGGCCAGGATGAAGCTTGTGGAAAAAGGTGAATGGAAGGGTCAACCAAGTACAGAATAGTATTGCTAGTGTTTAACTTTTATATGTAAATTCTTTATCTGAAATGGGTTTCTTCCTGCATGGAAATCACTTGTCCTTACCTTTTCTCATATCTCACATATTATTAAAGCATTGCTGTGGTATTAAGCAATGCAATCCCTACAGGCATTGTTGGAATGAGGTCATTACTTCAGGCCAGTGGAAGAACATAAGGGATTTCAAGCAGGCTATTTGTTGTCATAAAGCAAAATCAAACCTACTACATTTCCAAAGGAGTATAACATGATGGAGACAAGACCATTATAAAGCTAGAAACTTGAGAAAGTCATTTTAAAAGCTCATAAGCATAGGTTACTCATGACTAAAGGCGTTGCACTGTTATGCAACATGAGTGTCAGGGGAACAAATTTCCAACCTCGTGACTCACGCTTCTGTGTTACACATAATACTGGGCGTTTCCTTCACTTTAAAGAAATGTGAACCTCAGTGTGTGTATAAAAATATCTGACATCCAAAACATGCCAACACAACAGCTAACAGGTTTAGAAAAATCTAAGTTGACCCTGTGTCACCAGAGCCACTCTTCCCAGATGGAAAGTTACTCTACTTTTTTGAAAAGTGTGGCCCGATAGACCACCTCCTACCCCGGGGCAGCTGGGTCCCACCGTCTCTCTCCTAGAACTAGTTTCTCAACCGCCCAGAGAGGGCAACAGAGCTAAAGCCCTGGGAAAAAGTCAGTAAAAATCATTGCCCCAGCCGCCTCCACACGGACTCCGCCTCTCCTGGGCCGTCAGGCGATCGGGGGCGCTCCCGACTCCGCCCCTCCAGCCGGCGGGTCCCTGGGGGGCTCCCTCCCGCCCCCGACGCCTGGAGGGTGACCCGCGGACCGGAGCCGCCCCGCGGCCGCCCCGCCACTACACAGCTCTCTCGACCACACGGTTTTCACCGACTTTATTGGGCCCCGACCCCGGAGGGCCCCTCGCAGCCCCCTCCCCGCGAGAGCGCGCCGGCGGCCGCGACATCCGACAGGTTCAAAACGGCTGCGGGCGGCCGTGGGAAGAGCCTCCGCCGGCGCGCCAGCTGCCCCGTGGCGCGGGGGTCACTTGTTCTTCGCCTTCTGACTCTCCGTCTTCTTGGGCAGCAGCACGGCCTGGATGTTGGGCAGGACGCCGCCCTGCGCGATGGTGACTTTGCCCAGCAGCTTGTTCAGCTCCTCGTCGTTGCGGATGGCGAGCTGCAGGTGGCGCGGGATGATCCTGGTCTTCTTGTTGTCGCGCGCGGCGTTGCCCGCCAGCTCCAGGATCTCGGCCGTCAGGTACTCCAGCACGGCCGCCAGGTACACCGGCGCCCCGGCGCCCACGCGCTCCGCGTAGTTGCCTTTGCGCAGCAGCCGGTGCACTCGGCCCACCGGGAACTGCAGCCCCGCGCGCGAGGACCGGGACTTGGCCTTGGCGCGCACTTTGCCTCCCTGCTTCCCGCGACCAGACATCTTCGCCTCGCGCCTAAAACTCCAGCGAGAGAGGAAACCGCGGCGGCCTCGGTCGGGCTCCGGCGGGGAGTGCGACTCCCCGGAACTGCCTCCGCCAGCACTTTGCAGCCGCTAGGCAGCGCCTTCCCATTGGGCGCTGCAACGCTCTCGGCTCCGGTAACCAATGATAGGCAGGCTCCGCTCCCAGTGAGCGCGCTGGCGGAGGGACCGCCCTCGCCGGCTCTGTCCAATCAAAAGGACAAACCTCAGTTCTCATTTACATAGGTGCAAAGGGCCCGCCTTTTGGGGCTCCTTAGAATGTATTGGACCCTGAGATTTTTTTTTTCCTTTTTAATAGATATCTTTATTGATTTCAGAGAGAGGAAAGGAGAGAGAGATAGAAACATCAATGATGAGAGAGTCATTGATCGGCTGCCTCCTGCATGCCCCCGACTGGGGATCGAGACTGCAACCCGGGCATGTGCCCTGACCGGGAATCGAACCCGATCACCTGGATCCTAGGTCGATGCTCAACTGCTGGGCTACGCCCGGCCTGAGATTTCAACGTCTACGGTCCCACTCAGGAAAATAAAGTCTTAAGAATTAAGGAAGATCCGGAAGAAGAGATCCTCTATCCACAAGTACGGAGAGCTCAGGAAATAAATGTGCCTTGGGGTCGCGCACGGTGTGTCAGACGTCGCTGTGCCCTCTAAGCGGGTTTTCTGACCTAATTCAGCATCCTAGCCGGGTAGTTATCTAACTCCAGAGCCCGCACTTGTGGACAACACGGGTCCTCAAGCGAAATCACAAACTCTCTACCGAATTCTGCCTCCCCAGGATAGGGTACGTCGCCTGATCTTTTAACAGGTGCCTTGCCTCCTGCAAACCCAGAGGCTCCGGCTGATTACCCAACAGTGAGAGAAACTGGCTCCAAGAGAAGCTTCGTATGGACTTAGCCATCTGAATTTGAGCTAGACCCGAAGACACTGGACTCCCCGCAAAGCTCTGCGCCCCACCAGGCTGCCACTCTTGGTTTCTAAGGGCTGTGAAATTAGAGTGCTAGACTAGATGTGAACGCCTTCTTCACAGAGGGCAGGAACAAGCTCACTTAGCCAAAATTTAACATCTCTTGGCTTTGAGGTGGTGAGCCTGAAAAGAGCCTCTGGATTCTGCAGAGGATGCAGGCTCAGCTTAGTTGCTGAGGCTCGAAAGTCTTGGCCTTGGCTTTAGCCTAGTCGGACAGGAGCTCCTCGGATCACGTTCTCGGGGAAAGACTATGAGGGTCTCTCTTTGTAGACAAGCCCAGAGGTAGATATGGTCATGTGAGACATTCCGGTGGCGCTCAGAGGTCAGGAAAAGACTAAAGGAAGAAAGATCGGCAGCAACTGTGTTTGCAGAGCCATAGCATTTAAAACAAAATAAGTTTGGTGGGTTTGGGGGGTTTTTTATTATAAATTACTTTCTACTAATTTACTGAGGTAATTTCATTCACCTCAATATTTTTCATAACTATACAATTGGTTATGTGATGTAATGTTGAACACTTATTAAAATAAACAATATTTTATGTGAATTTTAGTAGCTACTTAAAACAAAATGACTCTCTCACCATCCAATAAAGATTTGATTTTATTGAAAAAAAAATTTCATCTACCTAAGTATACGTCCTTACTGCCTAGCTCAATAATTAACCTATGTATAGTAGGAGCAGAATAAATGTCTCTGGAGCTGAGAAGCAGTATATTGTCATGGTTAAAGTGGTAATCCTGGATCCAGACTGTTCCATCCAAATCCTGGCTCTACCACTTACCAGCTGAAAGTGTTTTAAAGATTAAGTACTTTAGTAAGCATCCAATAACTGTTAGATAAACTGAATTAATGGACCTTTTGTGGACCACAAAAGAGAAAAGAGAACCATTAAAAATGTTCCTCTTTCCCCACTAAGTGACTTAAAAAGATATACAGGTGAAAAGCTGTAAAGCAATTGCTTTGAAATCTAACAAGATGTAAAGCATTGCTGGTTCCTGTTCATTTTCATATTGGTCTGGGAATGGTTTTTATAAGAGTAAGCATTCCATTAGAAAAATAAAGAGAATTCCAGCGGGCCTGAGAGAGAGACAAGGAGGTGGGAGACAGAGAGATTGGGCAGGGAAACCCAGCACACAGAGGATCTGGCCTACTTTGTTTCAAGCGTCGAGAAAAGGCAATATACATTCTATTGAGTCAATTTTATGGCAAAAATTACAAAAAGTTTTCCCCAAAAAGCGAACACACACACACACACACAAATCAGTCTTGTTCTGCCTTCTGCTCGCTAGATGCTACTGTGGGAAGTAAAAAAAGGTCTCCTGGGGCCTGGAGCTCCGCCCACTGCAAGCCTTGGTCTAATCTCACAGAACTGTCGGCTGCTTGCTTTTCTGTGCGGGTGAGACGCTATCAGAAAGATGCGTGATCCAGGTAAAGGTGGGCGACGTCCGGGTAAGGGAGGAGCCAAGCGCCGCAGCCCCGGGCATTATGAAGCCTGTTATTTATTCACCGTCTTGCTGGATGGGGTGGTCTCAAGCGCATCTCTGGGCTCACCCATGAGGAGACTCGGGGAGCGCAAAGTGTTTCTGGAGAGTGTGATCGTCCATGTGGTGACTTACGCGGAGTGCACCAGGCGCAAGACGGCCGGGTCCAGCCCATGGATGTGGTGAAATGACAGGCGCTGAAATGACAGAGTCTCATTCTGCGTGGCCTCCGCGGTTTACCTCCTGACTCCAAAAGGCCCGTTTTAAACCCGGCCCCCCCCCCCCAAAAAAAAACGTCATGAAGAGCTGTTAATACTATCTACCGTGTGAATGTCGGATCTAGAAGCAGGGAGGCGTTTTTGGTGAAGCATTCCAGATGCCATTGGATGTAGTAAAGTTGTCTTCGTAGCAACTGCTCTGGAGGGTGTCTCCGGGTTACAGGCTTAATATCTGGGGCTTGGGAGGAGGGTTGGTGTGAGCAGTCAAGCTTCGAGCGGTGAACCCAGCGCCGCGCCTGGGATGCCTGACTACTTTGGAATCTGTTTGGGAGAAGGAAATGTCTCTACCTTACAAATTCCAAGTTTTAGGAGTGGCAGACGGCTTCTAGGCAGCTGGGGCCCCTGGCTCCGAACACCTGTCGAGCGGCTTCTATGTAAATCAGGGCTAGTGGGCTTTCCGCCTCTGATTGGGCGGGAGGGCCACGCGTCAGAGGGGGCGGTTCCTAGCCGGTGCCACTCGGGTCCCGCCCCCGTGGAGCGGGGCACTTCGCAGCATCCAATAGGAAAGCGCCCGCTGCAGGCCCGTCGGTAAGCGCGAAAGGCGGTCCTGGTGTGCGGCTCGCTGCAGTCGCGCGAAGTGTGAATGTGTGTGTTTTTCACTGGCGTTTTGAAAAAGAGATGACCGAGCTCAGAAGCTACGGGCAAGGCGGCAAAGTGCGGGCGACATCGGAGGCCGGGTGCAGGCCGCGGCCCCTGCGCTGCCCGTGGGCCGTCTGCACGAAGGCAGCCGCGCGGAGCCGGTGAGCGTCCGGGTCCCGAGTGCCCGGCGGCCCTGCTGAACCCCGGCGGCGGGAACGCGGGAGTTAGCCCGCAGTGCGGCCAGGGGCGCAGGGCAGCGTCCTGCCCAACATCCAGGCCCAGCTGTGTTCAGGAGACTGTGCCATGCGAGCAGTTTCAGCCGGGAGATGAGCCCCTGGCTTCAGAGGAAAGGCCCCTTTTCAGAGCCGCTGGCTGGCGGGGCTGTAGAAAGGACATGGGCGGCGGGCTGGGATCCACTAAGTTCGGTGACAATAGTGTGGGCGAGAGACCTGTGTAGTAGCGGAGTCCTGCCCAGCGACCCCGCCGTGCGACCAGGAGAGCTCGAGCAAGGTGCGGCGCATGGGGGGCCTGTTTGGAGGGCGTTTTCCGGAGTCTACTACTGCAGGGCTGCAGACAGGGGGACCCGCCTGACGTGCAGGCCAGCTGGGGCTGCCAGTGAGGCCAGGTGGTACCTAACTCAGTTTGATGGCCTCCCTGCACTACTAACTCAGCTGTTCATCGGACGGAAATGGGGAAGGGGCTTAGGACCCTAGATGTGGTGAACCCTGAAGTTCAATTAGCTTCCTGGAGGTGGCTGTTCAGAGGGGCTCTGGAGGAGCTTCCCATCCTTGACAGCTTTGCATGTCTCATTTTAAGCGATACATGTCTCAAATGCACTAGGGAAACATTTCTTGTATTCCTTCATTACACCATTCATTTATTGGTGTGCCAGGTGCTTTGGAAACCCTGTGTTTCATTGTTACATTCAATTATCCAGCAAACTTATGAAATATTTACAGTCATGTGCCACATAATTACAGCTTGGTCAATGAGGGGCTGAATATACGAATGTGGTCCCATAAGATTATAATGGAGCTGAAGCAGTCCTATCACCTAGTGACACTGTAACTGTGGGTAGTATCATAGTGCAAGGCATTAGTCAGGTGTCTGTGGTCATGCTGGTGTACACAAACGTACTGTGCTGCTGGTCATTCAAAAATATAGCGCCTATAATTATGTACAATACATAATACTTGACAATGATAATAAATGACAGTTACTGGTTTATGTATTTACTATACTATTTTTAAAAATATGTTTCTATTGATTTCAGAGAAAGGAAGGGAGAGGGAGCGAGAGATGGAAACATCAATGATGAGAGAAAGTCATTGATGGGCTGCCTCCTGCACGCTCCCTGCTGGGGATAGAGCCCGAAACCCGGGCATGCGCCCTGACCAGGAATCTAAAAGTGACCTTCTGTTTCATGGGTCCATGCTCAACCACTGAGCCATGCCAGCCCATCTATACTATACTTTTTATCATTATTTTAGGGTGTATTCTTTATACTTAAAAAAACTGCTGCAAAAACAGTATATTGTTACACCATCAGCAGCTTCATACACCTGCTGTTTTTCATGTCTTGATTGCATCATTTTCTCCTGTACTTGATTTAATCACCTATTGTTTTTTACAGTAAAATGCTCTATAGGCTTGT